GAACTCTAGGGTTATACAGGGCCTAGATGACTATCCTAAGGAACTGGGACCACAGGCAACAGGGAATTACTGAGAGGCTTTGTCTGTTTTCTTCCCTATAGTTTCTTCCACATCTGCCTTGGCTCTAAGCTAAGATTCTTGACAGTTCTCCATCTAAAGGGCTTAAAGTTTATTCTTTAATGCAAAAGATCTCTTGATTAAGTATTTGTCTTAACATATTTTCTTTCAACCAGTCTCTCTATGACTGAAGTAACAAGGATAAAGTTCATTGATGTTTCACAAGATGGCTTTGGAAACACTAAAGACTCCCTAGTCCAGCCCCTTCTTTGGCTTATAAGTAGGGAAACAGAGGCCTAGAGAAGAGTGAGTAGAAGAGAACAAGATTGCAAGGGAAGTGGGTGAGAATCAGGCCCAGGGATTTAGTTCCTGCCTCCCTGTCCCCTCCTTGGAGTACTGCCACTATCAATGTGGAACAGGGGACTGGCAGAGGATTTAGCTTTGGAAGAAGTGGTGAGTTGTTTAAGTGTAGGCTTTCCACAAGCTGACCAGATAAAGAGGTGAGAGGCCAGTACCACCCAGAGGATTAGTCTTCAGTCATGTCCAACCATATCCAACAAAGCACACTCAAACACATCCCTGCACAGGTTCTTATGGAGAAGAGGCTGGGCAGCAGGGATCACTCTTCAAGACAGAAAAATCCATGGAGAGTCACTTGACAAGCTGGTGGCCAAGCAGAAACTCAAACCTAGGACTTTGACCTCCTAGGAGAAAAACTATGACTTTGATGTTTCTTTCCCTTTTAGGATACTGTCTTTCCAGAGTATGTAAAAAATAATTAAGGGACTTCACACTGAGGTACTGACATGCAGTCTCCAAATAATCCTCCCTAACTCCACTGAAGTCCTAATGACATGGTATTGTCCTTGCCTGCCTATAAGAAAGCCTCAGTGCCCTAAAAAATGGTCTTATTTTGCATCAACTTCTCAGAGCTTGGCAAAGAACCTGGCAAATGCTCCTCATGTGAATGAAAAAGCACTAGAGTTGGAGGATCAGATCACATCCCTAAGAGGCTGAGCCCCCCAAAGGCTAGTGGTATGGGGCTATAGAACAGAATACCCTAATATTTGTGCCTTGAGGCAGATACTGTGGTAGACATTTTGGTCTCCATTTTACAGGTGAGGAAAATGAGGCTCAGGGAATTGCAGACACAGGGGTAGGTCATAAAGCCCAAGGCTCCCTGAAGCCTCCCAAGAAGTCTTCAGGACCCTAAGTCTACATCCAACCCAATGTTTGGGTCCCTTTCCCAATACCCTCAGGGGAGAGCAAGGGCTTCTGTCTGCAGCCTTCAGATGCTGCTCAGCTTGCTTCTCCCCTTCCATTTGAGTGCGCTCTACAACTGAAGTCTTTCTCAATATACTTAATTCTCCCCTCTGAAGCCTGACAGACCAAACTCTGTCCTTTAGGCTTTCAGGAAGATACTGGAGGGAGGATTGCTGGACTAAGGCTGGATCTTCTGTCACTTGCTGAGGAAAGCAAGTCTCAGTTCTCTCCACTTAGAGCAGGGAGCCTGTCATCCATTTGGGTGGGGTAAGGGGTAAGCTTCACCCTGGATATCAAAAGACTGGACTCTGGCTCTGTCAGTCAACTGGATGCAGGTACAACTCTTTCTTGGCCTCCTTTCCCATAGACATTCAATGGGAGCTGGCACTCCATCATTTTTCACCGCCTCCTCCCTCCCCAGCCTGTCCTTTCTCCTACATTCCCCGCCTCACCCACAGTTGTTCCTTAGATTCACTTTTCCTTATTCCCAGTGACCTAGACAGGACAGTGACTTTCTTGATGGCTCTAATACTTTCACGCTTCAAGTGCTTTACTGTTCTCTGCTGAAGGAATCCCACCTTTTTTTTTTTTTTTTGAGAGGTTTTTGCTATAGGGCACATGCGCTCGCCAGACAGACAGAGAGAGACATAGAGAAAGAAAGCGAGAAATTACCCCCCAGGGGGGATGGTCACACCGCAATCCCTTCTCCTCCATTCTCCTCTCGGGATCTTGGGCATGCACGCACACGTACCCGGTGTGAGTTTTAAGCCACCAGGTCTGGGACGTGAACCGCGGTCGACTACGTGGGAGTCCAGCGACATAGACATTATGCTAACTGCTGGTCCCAGGAATCCCATCTTAAATGCTCTCTGATTGTGTTGTCTCCTGCCCACACATGCACATTCCTATCCTTGTCTGTAATGGCTCCCAGTTAGGTGGAAAATAAAGCATTCTCTTTTTTGGGGGAGAGGTTTTTGCTATAGGGCGTGTGCGCACACCAGAAAGACAAAGACAGAGAGAGAGAAAATGAGAAATCACCTCCTAGGGGGGATGGCCACACCACAATCCCTTCTCTTCCATTCTCCTCAGGATATTGAGCATGCATACACATGCGCCCGGCATGAGTTTAAGCCACCAGGTCCAGGACTCAAACTGTGGTCGACTGCATACATAGGAGTTCAGTGACATAGCCATTACGCCAACTGCTGGTCCCAAAAGTAAAGCATTCTGAGCTAAGTCTGGGGGCCTTTCAGTCTTAGACCCCCTTAGTATCTTCCAGTAGTTCTCTACCTTGAAAGAAATTAATGTCTTCATCCCAAGAAGCCTCTTAAGGTCCTGATTCTAGGGCAGCTAGATACTGGTAGTTCTTCATTTTCAGCCTAGTCTTTATCTGTAAACACAGAGATGCTTGATTGACAACATCTCGTGCATTATTTCATTGCTGAAACATTTATACTTGTCCTTCAGGTCTGCATCAGATTCCCCCTTAGATTCTTTCCTAGTACCTGCCAAAGCCCATGGTCTTTTATCTCTGGGATACCGATTCAGTGTCATCCTCTTTCCCATTGGCCTGAAGGACTCCTGATGGCAGGGACTGTCCTTCTTGTCTACCATGTAATCCCAAAGCTTATATGAGATTCTTTTTTTTTTTTTTTTTAAGTTTATATTGATTCTGACAAATACTGCCAAATTAATAACACAGGCCCCCTTTGGAGGCAGAAGGAGCCCTCATGGGCCAGCCCTCCAGGAACTCACTCACTAAGGAAGAGGAAATCTGTCTAGCACTAGCAATACTCCTGAACAGAGGGCTGAGTGAATTGCTCTAGAATCTTCATTTCTGAGGAAGAAATCCAGGTTCCTGACAGAGGCAGTCCTGGACTCATATGCTGCACTGATTAAAGCATAAAACACATGCAGGTTGTCTGATGGTGCACTGCCACCTACTCAGAGCTCTGCTGCCTTCCTTAGGTGGGGCCAGAAGATCCTAAGATCCTCAGAGAAAGAAATCCCAAGATTATTAGGGTTGGGAAAACTGTGCTGGCTAAGGCTCAGAACAGGATACAAAGTATCTCCTAAAGCAACCTAGACCCAGGCCTCCTGGGGTCTGGTGATTACTAGGTACCAAGCAAGCAACCATTTTACTAGGAGTCACAGGGATCAATGGAATCACAGAGTGTGGTTTTTCTAAGGCCCGGTGCCCCAACTCCTCTTCAGAGGAGGTTATCTACTTTTCATTTTCCTGAAAGGCATTCCAGGAAGAGGGGAACCGGTGCTTGGCAAGGTAGGAAGCACTGTTGGGCAGGCGGAATGTTGATTTGGCAGGCACCTTAGGAGGGGGTGGGCTGCAGGCTCCCTGCTGGAAAGGGCCATAGTCTTTCAGAGGGAGGCCTGTTTATGACTCTTAGGTGGGCTTGACCTAAAACAGAAAGCTGCTTTCTGAGGGAGAACAAAATAAGCAATAATCTTGGCTTCATTTATCATCCAGGTGCCTCCACAGGAGAGTAGAGACACAAAAGCCTTTTTGTTTGTTTGTTTTGTTTTTGGAATTTGCAATTGTCTATTTTGTTAAGTCTTCCCACTAGGTTAGAATCATGAGCTCCTGGAGAGTCAGGCCTCCAAGCTCCTGCCCCTGAAATCTCTAGCAAGCCTAGGACAGGGTCACAGGTTTGTTGAACAAAACATCCTTTCTGTGCCTATGACCTCTCCACTTGTTTAAAGTTAGCACAATCACAAAATATACGCAGAAACCCAAAAAGGAATAATTCAGAGATAAAAGCACTAGAGAATCAGACAGGAAAAATACCTAGCAGATATGATCAATACAAGTTTGCTTCTTGGAAAATACCTCTAGAACAGACAAATCTTTGGTAAGTTTTGATCAAGAAGAGAGAGCATCAATAAGCAACACTAGGAATGAAAAAAGGGATAGTGTGATGATAGGGTGATTTAAAAGAGCAGGAGAAAACTACATGTGCACCTTTATAGCAATAAATTAAAAATCTAGGTAACACCAGTGATCTTATGAAATTACCAAAGCCCTTCATCACCACAATATCTCAAAAAGTCCTCACACAGCTCTGTGTGACACACTACCTGTGATGCTTTCTAGTAGAAAGGAAATGGACAGCCAGCACAAGGCCCTGGTAAGCTACCCTGCTGTCTCAAAGGTCATGGCCAGAGTGTGCGCACATCTCTAGGATAAGAAACCACACCACTCCTGTGCTTCTAGCCATCACCTGAAGTCCAGTAGTTGGACAGCCACTTTTATTTACTTTTCCACTTGGAATGCCATAAGGGGTTTCACTTTATTTTTACTTCAAAAGCAGCACCATAAAAATCCTTGATGATTAGAGCTCCAGCTGTCTTAAGTTGTTTGTCAAGGGATTGGTTACTCAAATCTCCTATGGAGGGAAACAATTTCAGGCGAGAAGCCATGGGAGTTGAGAAACACAAATGTCTCATCTCTGAAAACTTTCAGACTCCCTCCTGTTCACCGCCTGGCCTGCCCTCGTTCCCCCCTCCCCCAGCCCCACCATCTGCTCTCCAGAGAGCAGATCAAATTTTCGGGCTAAGGTACTCTGGCGCCAAAGACTCAGCCCTCCGTGCTTCCCCTGCCCCCCACCAATTCAGAAATCCAACACCACAACCCAAATGGACTGCAGCCACATAAAACCACAAAGTAAAGTTTATAAAGCTTTATTAAACATTTCAAACAGCTGTGCAACGAACACACCAGAAATAAAAGCTCCAGAATAGCAGTCCAAATGTTTCACACATGTGGCCTTGCAGTCCCATTCCCTAGATGGGCTGCCACCAGTTCTGTCCTCTGCCTGGCCCACCTCCCTTCTGCCTCAGGCAAGAAAGAGATGAATGGTTTGGACTGGAAGAACAACCATGCTGATCCCCAGTGGATAGGGGCCAGGAGAAAGTCTTGTTTGCCAACATTTGTTACGGAAGCCCAGAAACAAGTCAAGTGACAGTCACAAAGTCTTCCTGTGTGTTCTTCATAACGTACAGTCTACGTGTGCAGGAACGAAGAAGCTCCTGGCGGGAGGACGATGACCACTGCTTCTCTCTGTCTTGTCTGCACCACCTTGGAGTCCAGTGTGCTGGTCACTCTGCAATCCCCATGCTAAATAAAAACTGTAGCCGCACCTACTATAGCTAGCTATTGCTAAACCTCAAAATCAGAACACATTTGATAAAGCTTCTTTAAAAGGAGTATTCACATGTATTTGTGTACACACACACACACACACACACACACACGGCACGAGAAAAAATATCCAAACACCTGTCAAGGGCATCATGGCTGTTATGAAACACACAAGTACTCTCCATTCACACAGCTGGGGACTGCTAGGTCGACATGAACACACCATACCTCAATCCTGCAGAGCATGCATGGGGGACACAAGGAAGCCCCCCTCCTCAGGACCATTCAGAAAGGCAGGAGGAAGAGCAAAGGGAGTGAAGCTGGGCTGGAAAGCACAAGCCCAGACACCCAAGTGAAAGAGCAACATCTATCTGTTGCTTTTTCCTTAAAGATGAAGAGGAAAAAATACTGGAGATTCGTGGACAACAAACAGTTAAGACATGTTTCTGTCTAGCTTGCTGAACAGGGAAAGAAGGATGAAAAAGCGAGGCTCTCGGGCGTCAGCAATCTCTTCAAATTCGAGATAAGTGCAAAAATGAGCCCTGTCTTGGACAGGTGCTCCCCCAAAAAGGAAAGGGACAGAAGGGAATTAAAGGGAAACTAGGAGGGGAGGGACTGAGGAATCAGTAACATTTTGGGAAGGAAGGAGACCCTAACAAGGAGGGGTCACAGAGGTGAAAAGGGGACTGGCATTTTACCTTCCTAGGTCACACTGGGGCGGATTGACCAGGATGGGCGCAGACTCCTCGCAGTAATGAGGCGAGGGGGGTGGCCATCCCACCAGCCAGGACCGAGATGGGGACAGAACACACACAACCACGAGACCACCCACGACGATAGGACTCTACAATAAAAGCACTGGTCAGTGCCATTATTCACATTATAAGGATAAAACATCACAGGCCAAAAAGGCGCCGTCAGGAATGTGGCACCCGCAGGCTGCGGGATTTGAAACTCCAATGCTTTATGACCTACGTCAATGCCTCCCCTCCCGTCTTCTGCTTCCTTGGAAAGCTAGCAGGGTAGGCTGTTAGGTGCCCACAACACCAGGGTCATGCGCCGATTCTGGAAGTGGGGAATCGGAGCAATGGTACAGGAAACAGTTTCCCCAACAGCTATAGCAGATGAGAAACAGGGCTGCCAGGAAAACCAAGGCACAAATTGTGCAAGGCTTCCGCTCCAGGAGAAAGCTGAGCAGGTAGAAGCCCATGAACATGGAGTGGCTGAACCACAGAGCGGGGTTGAGGGGCTTGGGGATGAGGAGGACGGGCAGCAGCCACTGGAGGCAATACATGATCTCTGCCGGGCAGGGCCTTCGCCAAAGCTGCCGGGCACCGCTGCAGGAACCGACCTAATAGGAGCCAGCGGGCGCAGGCGGCTGCCCTCCGCTTTCTTCAGCCCTCACTCTCCAGGAGCTGAGCCGCTGTGCTCTCTGGCTGTCAGCCTGGGATCACCAAGGCAGCAAGGATCCTGAAGAGAAAAGTCAACACAACAGACAAACAGACAAAGAACAGACAGACAGACAAAAAAAAAAAAAAAAGAAAAAAAGAAAAAAAAAAACAGAAAAAAAAAAAAAAAAAGAAAAAAAGAAAAAAAAAAACAGAAAAAAAAAAAAAAAAAGAAAAAAAGAAAAAAAAAAACAGAAAAAAAAAAAAAAAAAGAAAAAAAGAAAAAAAAAAACAGAAAAAAAAAAAAAAAAAGAAAAAAAGAAAAAAAAAAACAGAAAAAAAAAAAAAAAAAGAAAAAAAGAAAAAAAAAAACAGAAAAAAAAAAAAAAAAAGAAAAAAAGAAAAAAAAAAACAGAAAAAAAAAAAAAAAAAGAAAAAAAGAAAAAAAAAAACAGAAAAAAAAAAAAAAAAAGAAAAAAAGAAAAAAAAAAACAGAAAAAAAAAAAAAAAAAGAAAAAAAGAAAAAAAAAAACAGAAAAAAAAAAAAAAAAAGAAAAAAAGAAAAAAAAAAACAGAAAAAAAAAAAAAAAAAGAAAAAAAGAAAAAAAAAAACAGAAAAAAAAAAAAAAAAAGAAAAAAAGAAAAAAAAAAACAGAAAAAAAAAAAAAAAAAGAAAAAAAGAAAAAAAAAAACAGGAACAGAATGTATACTTATTTGGGAAAATGGATCATGGTTAACAGCAAATGTGAATGCCCTTTCCTCCCTGCCCACCCATGGACGTTCTCTTTTCCAAGTCTCTAAGTTCAGGAAGCTTCCTGGGATCTCTCCCATGAGCTTCAATTGGGGGCTCTTTGAGAGGGCTCTTTGGCACTTCCCGCACAGTGGCCTGGCTTTGTCTGGGCCCTGCCCAGCAGAGATCATGTATCGCCTCCTGGGGCTGCGGCCCGTCCTCAAGGGGCCCAGACCTCACAATACCGCCCTGTGGTTGCCACAGGAAGACCATGGCTCACGCTGTGCCCCCATGTGGTAAGGTTAGGGTTCTGTATCTTTCATAGTGGTAGGTTCTCAGGCAAAGAGTGGCGGGGGGGGAAAGCAATGCGTGCATTGCCGGCTCCAGCCGACAGGCAATAGATCCTTGAATATTTCAGCAGTACCAAATACTTATTTCAAGATGGCAGCCTGGGCCAGCTTGCCTTTTTCAAATAGCCCGGGGACACTTTGCCAAAACCAGCCAACTTCTTCGAAAGTCGATGTAGGAAAAAATTCACTACGCTATTCAGATCAAACTGAACTCACTTGGATCATTACACCTCCATCTGCTGCTGGCACTGTGTAGAACCTGACCTCTACGAGCTTTTAATCAAAATTAATTTTCTATCTACATAGGGGCAAATGCCAGTTGGCCCTTGTGTCAGGCAGTTGCTGAAGAGAAATGCTTTTGGAGGGCCACAGATGCACCGGGGCAGCGCTTGGAGACCACATTCTGGTCTACCCGCCCGCGAAGTCCGCGTTCTGCGAGGGATCCGCTAGACAACGCTCAAGGAGGAAATCGCCTGGCCTGGAAACAGGATTGTGGCGAAAACGGCTCTGTGTTCCAGCTGCCCAGCGAAACCGGTAGAAAGGACCGCTCTGGTTGAGGCAGACCCACCAAGGCCTGGGGGAGGGGGACGAAGACCTGCCCAGCAGATCACTATCGCCGAGCACATTCCAACCACTTCCCGGTAGAGCTCAGTCCTCCGCGCACAGAAAGGGCGCCAATGCACCCCGCACCCTGCCAAAGAACAGACACCCAGTGCCTACTGCTTTTACACCCACAGGGCAGGACTCACTTGGATCATTACACCTCCATCTGCTGCTGGCACTGTGTAGAACCTGACCTCTACGAGCTTTTAATCAAAATTAATTTTCTATCTACATAGGGGCAAATGCCAGTTGGCCCTTGTGTCAGGCAGTTGCTGAAGAGAAATGCTTTTGGAGGGCCACAGATGCACCGGGGCAGCGCTTGGAGACCACATTCTGGTCTACCCGCCCGCGAAGTCCGCGTTCTGCGAGGGATCCGCTAGACAACGCTCAAGGAGGAAATCGCCTGGCCTGGAAACAGGATTGTGGCGAAAACGGCTCTGTGTTCCAGCTGCCCAGCGAAACCGGTAGAAAGGACCGCTCTGGTTGAGGCAGACCCACCAAGGCCTGGGGGAGGGGGACGAAGACCTGCCCAGCAGAGCACTATCGCCGAGCACATTCCAACCACTTCCCGGTAGAGCTCAGTCCTCCGCGCACAGAAAGGGCGCCAATGCACCCCGCACCCTGCCAAAGAACAGACACCCAGTGCCTACTGCTTTTACACCCACAGGGCAGGACCCAGGCTCGGCTATGCAGTTGCCACCGCCGCCTTGGATCCTGATCACCTTGGATCCTGATCTCCTTGGATCCTGATCTCCTCGCTACCTTCAGAAGTAGGATGTGAAGAATCGGGGGGAGGGCTGTGCGCTCAGGAACCCTCTAAAGCAGACAGCGTGGGCTTAAAACTCAGTGAACATTAGTAGTTTTGGGAAGGCGCCTGTGATGGCAAGACTTCTAGAAGGGACACCTTTTTATGCTCTATGGGACAGATGACCTCTCCCAAACTTCGGTTTCTCTGGCTTTTCATACGCAAGGTGGGTTTTGAAGCGACACTGGACTCCGGGCTCAAATTTGTAGAGGGTTATTGCACTAAGAGGCTTGCTCGCCTCATTCTCTATCCAGAGTTGTGATAACCCCCTATTTTATACTAACATTCAACAGCAGGCACAGCAGAATCTTCTGGAAGGGGGCTAAGATGAAACTCAGGAGGCGGGGGTCGGTGTAGAAAGAGCAGATGGATTATTTTTTCTTCTCTCCTGGCGAATGAGAGGCGCCCCCCACCGCCCCTCCTCATGAACGCCCCCCCTCAAAGCGCGCATGCGCACTCCAGTAGCGGGCGGGTACTTAAGGCGCCGCCACCGCCGCTGCGGCAGTGCGCCCAACAGCGGACTCTGAGACCAGTGGATCTCGGCGAACCTTCGCCCTCAACCAACCACCCACCACTCTCGGAACCATGGCGGCAGTGGCGGCAGCTTCAGCTGAGCTGCTCATCATCGGCTGGTACATCTTTCGTGTGCTGCTGCAGGTAAATGTGTCGGGATTCCGGGTGGGTAAGGGGTCCCAACCGACACGCGCACCCTGAACCCGCAAACACGCATCGCGATTGCTGTCGCTGACCCATCCTATCCTAATTGCCGCGATCCGTGCTTGCCCAAGTGCCGCTGCCGGCACGGTGTTTCCCGGTTGGTTCGCTGCGCCCTCCTCCTCGCGCAGACCCTCCCCAGTGCGCCCGCGCCCAGCCGGGAACAAAGGCTCAGGGCGCAGCGGGCGACTGCCGCGGACGATCGCCGAGGCTTTTAGCGACCTACACGGTAAGAAAAACCCGCTACACCCAGACTATAACCCAGGAGGGAGGCGGGGCACTTCTCTGTTGCTAGACTTTACATATCGCTTAGCGAAAATTTTCCGTCTTAAAAAATTGCGCATTGCGGGCAAATTTTCTTTTAAAGAAAAGATAATATACATATATATAGCACTTGCAGGGTGAAACAAAAAATAAGTTAGAAAAAGGAACTTCTCAGAAAAAATTTAAAATCACTACCAAGAAAATCATAATGAATTATGAGAAAAAGTAATTCACGGAAGAAAAAAAAAATAGGGGAAAACGTGCATTGCAGGAAAAATAAATCAGACAAAAGCACTTGACAGAAAATAATGCATTAGATAAAAAGCGCATTGCAGGAAAAAATTAGACAAAGGACCTAACAGGAAAAAAGAAAATGAATCGGGACAAAAACGCTTTGAAGAAAACAATTAAGAGGAAAAAGCCCTTCGCGGGAAAAATGGAAGGGGGGAAAAGCTCTTCCAAAAAAGGAAAATTGCTTTATAGAAAAAAAAAAATCAAGCGGCAAAAGCACTTTGCGTAAAAAGAAATAAAAGAAAGTGCTTTGCCCATAAAATCATTTACCCTAAAAGCTCCCTTTGCAGGAAGAATTCCCTGCTAAAGGAATCCTTTGCCAAAGGAATCGCATATTTCCTTCAAGGTGTTCCTGGAATGCTGCATTTACTGGGTAGGATTCGCTTTTCGAAATCCTCCAGGGACACAGCCCATTGCGAGAAGTGAGGTATACCTAAGTTGTGGGTCCAATCAGCTTGCCGCCATGCAGCTCTCAGCACAGTTGGAAAAGCTCCAGCTGCCCTGACTCGTGGACAAGCTGCGCCCATGCACGCCTCTCCGGCCGACGCTGGACAGGCGGGCGGGGCAGGGGGTGGGGTGGGGGTGGGCACGGCAGCACCACAGACATGGTGCAGGTGCTCTCCACTAAGGGCCGGTCCTGGATCTCTCACCACAGGTGTTCAGATACTCCCTGCAGAAGCTGGCGTACACGGTGTCGCGGACCGGGCGGCAGGTGTTGGGGGAGCGCAGGCAGAGAGGCCCCAACTGAGGCCCCAGCTCCCAGCCCTGGGCGGCCGTATCATCAGGTGCTCCTGTGCATCTCGGCCAGCATGGGAGCCAGTGCCGCGCAGGAATGGGGGGTCCCCTGTGCTCCCTCGCCAGAGGAGCACTTGCCAAGGTCAGTGAGGGGCCAGTAGGCCCCCCCGGAGAAGCAGTACGACAATGACCAACGATTCCAGATCCCTTTCCAACCCCTTTGAACCGGTCCCACTGTGGGGCGGGGGCGGGAGAGGAGGGGGATGGTGGGAGCAGACCCCTGAGATCTGGGCGTAGGCACCGCATTCTGATCTGGACCAAGTCGGGACAGCACCATCCCAGCCCGCAGCCGAGGCCATGCCAGAAGGTCCCACCAAGGAGATCCAAACACCACACCAGCCAGCAGAACGGACATTCCGACACCAGCCGAAGCCCTGAATCTCGGTGCAGCAGAGAAGGCACCCACTGAGTGTCTGTGTGGCGGGACTGGAGGGCGTGGGTGAGGGAGGAAGGAGGTGGGTTAAGAAATGGAGTGAGGCCCGCACAGTCCCTTGCCCACAGCACGCGCATTCCAGTCTCTCTGTCTTTGCTCTCTCCATTCCCCTTTCCTCCTCACTGCCTCCCAAGCCCACTCTACCCCAAAGAAATGTGTCACTCGATTTGGCTCTATTCAACCAGTAAATGAATCCCATCTTTACCAAAACACCTTCTCCGAGCCCCCGCCCCTCACTGATCTTGCTTTTCCCTGGTCTCACGCAGTTGTGGTAATATTGTGGTAATTGCTAATTGTACTGATTGTTTAAGTGTGCGTTAGTTGTGTCTCCCCAGCTAGATTGTAAGCTCCTGGAGGACAGGGACCACCTCTACAAAAAATAAAAAACCAGTAACTCCCCCATCTCGCAGTGTCCTAGGACCCTGCGGGGCGGTGGAGGCACACCAAGAAGTTGTCTCTGTGACTTTTTTTTTCTTTTTTTGTGGCAGGGACACGCATTTCTAAGACTGAGTTTAAGTGCCCACTATGGAAAGGGCACACTGCTTAAGGAAGGACAGGGTGGCAACAAAATGGGAATAACCTGGGACTTACACACCATGCCCCATCTTAACACAGTCCTGAGATAAAGGACCATCCCCCAGCTTGTCCCCAAAGACAGGGCTTTCCAGATGATCCCGGCAAAGCCCTTTTCCTCCATCCACCCATCCTTCAGCAGATCTTGGAGTGTGGCATAGTGATGTAACAGACTTGACTTGTGATCCCAGAATAAGGGACCACTTTGCCTTCCCCAGAGGGATAACTACCTTCACTTGTGGTCCCAGGACAAGGGGCCAGGGCAGTAATCACTGGGAAAGATGGGAGGAGGGGGAAGTGCCCCCTCAAATGGGGCACTAGGGATCAAGGAGGTGATTTCAGAGCATAAAGTCTTAGTCCAGGTCTCCATCCAGAGCCTCAGGAAATGAGTACTGGGCAGGTGGGCACAGTTTGGACAATGAGTTGGGATAAAAGGTGTAAAACAGCACTGCCTCCACCCAGCTTAATGACCCAGGCCCCATAACTTGTACTGGGATCACTGTAAGGGTATCCTGCCTGGCCTTGCCACTCCCAAAGGTCTCCTCCCTTCCCCTCTGCCTACCCCAGAAACCTCTCTTCCCATTCCTGGGGCCCCTGCTTTTCTCAGCATAGCCTCCTATTCCTATTCTTTGGAGTGCTTACCAGCCTCTGGCCCTGGGCTCTCCCTGTCATGTATGGACAGTGGGCTGGCTGCCGCTCCGACTTTTCTCCCCTTCCTTTCTCCCCAGTGTGTCAGGGCTCCTTTTATGGTGGGGTCAGCTGATTGCCTCACCAAATGGCCCTGCCGCCTGTTCAGCCTTGTCTGAAGCTTTATGTGTTCCTGTCACTACACACCTGTTCCTAGGTCAACACCAATGGAGTGAATATAAAGGCCATAAATCTCTTCCTGCCACTTTCAAAGATCCCTTAGTCACAGTTGTCACAAACACTTCTAGAGCACCAAGCACTGTACTCCCTTGAGCATGATCATGCTCACCTCCCCTTAAGCAAGCCCCTTAGGTTTCTCAGCCCAACCACCAGCAACTCTAGAGGCACCTACAACCTCATTCAGCATCAGAGAATTTTTGGGGTGAGAGAAAGGTGCAGATATGGGTTCTGGTCTTGACTTTGCCAGCAAGCAGCCTATGGAGCCTGGCCAAGTCATTTCCAGTCCTCTCTGTAAGAGGGCCACTAAGATCCCAGTAAACTCCAACATTCTAGAAACACTGCCATTACAATGCCATTCTGGTGGTCATCAGGACATGGTAAAATATGCAATCAGAGACTTCCTCTTCTCAATCAGCTGCTACCAGAGCCTGAAGGTGAGGCAGGTCTCCTCTTGCCCCAGGTGACTCATCTGCAGGCAATGCTCACACTGCCTCCTTTCTGAAGCCCAGATCTTGGCAGGTCTCAAGACTGGGAGTTTCTGTGGTCTTCCATACTAAACCCACAGAACCATGAACATATTTCAACATGCATTCTCAGTGAAGGATGCCCCTCCCCTAAGAGTCTTCAAAGGGTGTGCTCATGGGCCCTGATACTTTAACCTCAGCCCAAGTTACAAGGTAGCTCAGTTCAAGGAGGTGGGCCAAAGCAGCATGGGAAGGTCTGGCTGCTCTGGACATAGCACCTCCTGTGGCACTCCTTCCCACCCCCCCAGATGGCAGGAGGCTGCCGGTAGCCCCAGGTCTATCCAGATGATCTTGGCAAAGCCCTTTTCCTCCATCCATCAGCAATCTCTGAGCGTGGCATAGTGATATAACAGACTTCAGGCAAGGGTTGCCTTGGTGGCTTGCACCTGCCTGAGTGGGCTTGAATGTACAATATCCCAGTCCTCACTTTTGTCTTCTACTCCCGAACCCTCATGTTCTGCAGCAAGTTTACCCCACCAGGGACAGAAAGAATGCTCTCATTTTCCATCCCTATGCAATATCTGGAAGTCTGGGCCAAACACATTTTGTTTACAATTTTTTTTCCCACAAGCTATACCATTAAGACATTTTATTCCAATAGACAGCAATGGGAGGAATTGAAAATGACCAGTTTTTTATTGGAAGGCCCTCAGTCCAAAGTACTATATGTCCTCTTCCCCTAAAGCACTGCCAACCCTACTGCCACAAGAATTTGCCCACATTAAGGCTGAGGATAGAGTAGAGGGGCTGTGAGGGGACTGGGATGGCTTTTTGGGACTCCAGCAACAAGTGAGACCCTCAGGAGTGATATCTGAGAACATTAGTTTCTTAGCCTAGCCAGTTGAAGTCTCTGGGGTGGGTTTATATATCACAATTTTCAGAGGTGGGGGTGCTATGCGACATTGTCACCACTCATTATTTGTGAGGTATTTTGATTGTGACTAAAAGAAAAGGTTTTCCCTAAAGCACTGCCAACCCTACTGCCACAAGAATTTGCCCACATTAAGGCTGAGGATAGAGTAGAGGGGCTGTGAGGGGACTGGGATGGCTTTTTGGGACTCCAGCAACAAGTGAGACCCTCAGGAGTGATATCTGAGAACATTAGTTTCTTAGCCTAGCCAGTTGAAGTCTCTGGGGTGGGTTTATATATCACAATTTTCAGAGGTGGGGGTGCTATGCGACATTGTCACCACTCATTATTTGTGAGGTATTTTGATTGTGACTAAAAGAAAAGGTGTCTGTTCCTGGAGCCCGGAGCCCAGCAGGGACAAGTTTCTTGAGCTCCTGCTGCAGGGCAATCAACAGCTTATTACAAGTACGTTGAATGGGGGAGCAGGTTTACTGTGAGCCAATTACTAGATATCTGTTTTCAAACTTGCATCTCCTCAAGAGCCAACACCCCAAAGGGAGATTCTAAATTTGCAGGTAACTTTCCCCCGAGAGATTAAAACATGTGCAGATACACATACACATACACACAAAACAAGTCTAATGGTCTCGTTTTCCCTGGTGACCTCTGACTTCCTCTATGCGCCCCAGAAACATGTTGTCACCATGTTCTATGGGAATAATCCCGTTGATCCAGCCCCCTGCTTTTCACTCCCACAGGGCTCATACTCCAGCAGGAGGCAGATTCCTGAGCATTCCCAGAGCAGGAAGTCAGAGAGGCAGGCGACACATGGTCCTTGGTATATCAAACAGTGACAAGCTTGAAATGGAATGCATGCATTTCTAAGATAGGAGAACAACAACAAAAAAACACAGCCTATCCCAGATTCCTCTTTGAGACAATATATTACAGACAAAAGGTTAACCTGCTTTTGGCAGCAAGTCTCAAGGAGACCCATTTCAGGTATGGAACTGACCTGGTCACTGGAAACCCCCAGGCTTCCTGTGACTGAATCTTTTAGCAGATTTGCTTCATATTAATGAGTATCTGGTTTCAAACAAACAAACAAACAAACAAGATCTAACACTTGGCATCAGCACTTAAACTGGAACTTTTTTGTTTCTGGCTTTGGTGTTGCTGTCCAGCAGGCTGACAGGATGGTTGGACCATGTCAGGCAGGGCAGAGAAGCTGTCCCCAACATACCAGTTCCCTGGAAGGGATAAAAAGCGATCCGAACCTATAAACACAAAGGCTGTTTCTTTTCTAGGACAGACCCAAGCCTCCCAGCATTAGCGTTGAAAGGGACACGTAGGCCCGAAAGGAAACTAAAGAAGGTTTGGAAGGGGAAAAGAAAACGCGGCGGTCCCCCACCCCCATTCCTCCTTTCCAGGCCATCAGTGTGCCAGGCTTTCGATTCCTTCGGCTGCCCTTGAGGCTACTCCTCACATAAACTGGAGGGGACAGCATGGGGGTCCAGTCTCGATGCAAAGTTCAAGTGAGTAAAACGCGCCCGCGACTCGAAGCAGAGCGTCAACCTATCACCCCAGACACCTTGGGTCGGGGGGCCTAGGGCGGGAGATCCTTTTCTTCTTTCTCTCTCACGCCCCTTTTGATAAAACAAAACAAAACAAAACAAAACAAAACAAAACCCGCAACTGAAGTGGCGGGGAAAGATGACAGGCCTCTCACAAGCTGGGCCCCCTGCCACGGGACCCAGGGCCGACGAGGAGGTGGCTGCGCTCCCCAGCCCCACGCTCCCCGGCTCTGCCTACCCTTTCCCGGGAGGGCACTGACCTTGGAGGCCAGAGGAGAACTCAGGAATCCGGAGACCCACCCTTGGGTCAGGAAGGGACCCCTAGATCTCAAGATGGGGCCAAGCAGGGCAATCAACAGACGCGGGAGGGGGGGTTCCCTTCCTCTTTCCCGGGTGCGCAGAAGGAAAAGCCCAGCGAGGGAGCCGGCGACGCCTAAGGTGACCCCGAAGGGACAACATGGCGGCGCGGCCGCATGGAGGGCCTCTCATCCCGCCCCCAGCAGGCTGACGCCACAGTACCTGGGAGCCCAGCCATGGCGCCGCCGCCACTGTAGCCGTCGCTGCCGCAGCCTGCCTCCACCTCAGCTTGCCACCGACGCCGCAGGAAGCCGGGGAGACGCCCCCTTCGTCTTCTAGTCGAGCCGGCCGAGGACCCCTCTTGGAATCGAGCTGCCTACAGTAAACGCCTGATGACAAGGCGCAAAGCGGGGGGGCCACACTCCCCGATATTCCCTCAGTATCTTCCAAGAGGGTCCTCTGAGAACCTTCTGTGGACTTTTACAAAATTCCGTAACTCCTAGGTCTTCAAATCCAGAGAATTTTAAAACAGGCGCATCCAGGGCAGCTTCGAATCACGAGCTCAAGGTCCCCTCATGCATATGCAATAGATTGTGATCTACTCTTACAGGAGCCGTGCGGGCGTAGCGTATCACTTTCTGGGACTGAGCCCGAGGTTTCTGAGGGCCGCCGGGGTGATCCCTGTACTCTGGGAAAACCTTATCATGGCTCAAAGTCCACCCCTCTCTGTCGCTTCCATCAAGGGGCGAAGAATCAGGAGCGGAAAAATCCGGGCTCGGAACTTGGACCTGCCCTGGAGTCGGGACTTTTCCTGTCCCTGGGGCCAGCTAGCCCTTGGCCCATCCGAGCTGTCTCAGCTTCCTCTTGTCTGATGAAATGCCCACCTCATGGTTTGTTATGGGGATTGGACGAGTCAGTGTATTCATGTATTAGCTAATGAAGCACATTCTTTGAGTGCTTCCTATGTGCAAGCGCAGTGTTAGTAAAGGGAGACGGTTAGATTGGGTGATGGTCTCGGTGCTGACAGTCTGACGGGTAGGGGGTGGGAAGGGAGTGAGAGGAAAGATAGTCATCACATAATCATTCCATATGAATAACTTCAATCAAATCAGTACACGACTATGTATCATGGGAAGTGCTGTCAGTGTTAATGAGAAATTAACGAGGTCCTGTCCTAGAGTGAGGAGTGAGAGTGAAGCCTCCTTGGAAAGATGGTGTTTAGGGTAAGAAACCAAGGGTGATTAGGAGTTGTGCAGGGTAAGAATGAGGGTAGAAATGTTCCAGGCGGAAAGAAGAACATGCCCCACGTATGGAGGTGTGAAGGTGCAGAGTGAGGGCGATAGATGAGGAAGAAATAGGGTAAGGTAGCACAACATAATGACTTTGGGTTTTTAATCTTAATAGTAATGGGGAGCCTTTTTCATCAGATGAATGGTAAGAAAATATGATTTCTGAAGGGCCACCTTAGTGACATGGCTTGGAAGGAAAAGCCCTCAGAATAGGTGTGGGGAGATCAATTAGGAGGCTCTTTCAGCTTTCCAGGCACAGAGTAATGGTGACACCAATGGTGGGAGCTTGGGGAGGTGGAGAAGGAAAGGATGTGAGTTTGAGTGTAGGTGGGTGCTGTGACTAAAACCCACCAAGGTTTCAGCCTGGAGTAAATGAAAGGGTGAAAGAAACCTTGGCCAAGGTGTAATGCCTGAAGAAGGAACAGACTGATGGGGAAGACTAGAAGTCTGGCATCTTAGAAGACGTGACATTTGAAATGCCTGTAGATGAGGAGGGTGAAAGGATAGTTTTATATGAGACTGGAGCTTGGAAGGCAGGTTGGGGCTGGAGATACATATTTGGGTGCCCTGAGCACACGGGATACATCATGGCTCTGGATGAGAACCCAAGGGAGGGAAGGTAGATGGAAAAGTGGGAAGAAGAGGAGCCAGAGGGTAAGAAGTGATGGCCCATGAGGTCGGAAGGGACCAGGTGAGAATAAGGTCCCAGCTAGGTGTCACGAAGGAGCTGAATGCCATGGAAGACAGAAATGGCACTGCTGGGTTTATGGACAGTATCCCTTATGTTGCGATTTCAGAAACAAAGCAACTGAAAAACAGCTTAAAAAATAAGCACCGTCTCTCTCAGTGGCAGATGAATGGAGTGACTTGACAGTGTCATCAAGGATTCAGCTTTGTTCCATCTCTCTACTGCTTTGTGTTGATTTCATGCTTATAGTCACTCTGGTCCCTGGGGTCACATGTGAGTCAAAGGAATGTCCACTCTTCTAGCTGAGACTCAAATAAACATGGATGTGACCTCTTATCATCCTGCTGCTTATGAGCGAAGGGATCAATACACACCAGACACATGTAATACCCAATTCCAGAAGGAAAAAGAGAGAGCTAAGTGTTGACAAAGATGTGGAGCAACGAGCATTTTTGCACACTGCTGCTGGCAGAGGAAATTGGTACAACCACTTTAGAAAACTGACAGAATCTGCCAAATCAAAGCAGACATCACTACTGCCAACTAGAATTTCCACTCTTAGGTATTTACCCAAGAGAAACAAGTGCTTATGTCTACATAAGGACTCATGCAACTTTTACACATAGAATTACAAACTCCTGGGCCAGCAGGTGATGTGGAAGTTAAAGCTCTGGGTCCCACATGGCTGACTGTACAGTTCAAGTCCTAGGCCCGACAGCTTGAAAATCACAATGGGCGTGTGTGTGTGTGTGTCTGTGTATGTGTGTCCAAAATCCTGAGAGGGGAATAGAGGAGAAGGGCATGCAATGTGGCTATTCTCCTGGGAGGAGGGGGTGATTTCTCTCTCTCCCTCCCTCCCTCCCTCCCTCCCTGTCTCTCCCCAGCAAGCTCACACACCCTATAGCAGAGAACTTTAAGAATTAGAAACAGAATTACTGATATATGCAACCCTATAGATTAATTTCTAGTGTGTAGACTAAAAAATGTCACACACAAAAACAGTGAATACTGTATGGTTCCATTAATACATAGTTCAAGGGCAGGCAAAATGAATCTATGGCAATAGAAATCAAAGTAATATTAGGTTTGGGGGAAAGTCATGATGTATTTTTCTATGCAAAAATGCATCATGACTATGCCGACAACCCAATTGTTACCCTCCTCCCCCCCCCCCCCCCATGCCGACAACCCAATTGTTACCCCCCTCCCCCCCGGCTGGATGGAGAGTAGGGGTGTGAAAAGAGCAAGAGGTGCTTTTCTGGTAGGCTGGAAAAGAACAGTTTAACCTGGATGGTGGTCACATGGGTACGGTTTACCAAGCTATACCCTGAGGCTAGGGGACTTTCTGTACTTTATGTATGTTACACCTCAAGAAAAACAACAAAGTGAAGGGGCCCCACCATCAAAGGTCATGTGATATACACTGCTTAGCAAAGAGCAGAAGGTCTGTTTGGGGGGACTTTTGGTGGTGTAGCAGTAAATCGTGATCCTCTGCAAGGCTTTCCACTCACGTGGTAAGGTTCCAGGTGTACACCCAGAGACCTTGTGAGTATGCAGGTATGATGGGCCCACAATCTGGGGCTGACTGAGCCTGGTATGGATTGTGGCATTGAGCAAAGGAAGAAATAAATAAACTTAAAAGAAGAAGGATAAGGAGGAGGCGGAAGGACAAGAAGGAGGAGGATGCAAAGGAGGGGAAGAAGGAGGAGGCGGAAGGACGAGAAGGAGGAGGATGCAAAGGAGGGGAAGAAGGAGAAGAAAGAAGGAGGATGAGAAGAAGGAGAAGGAAGAGATAAAGGAGAAGGAGGGGAAGAAGAAGGAAGAGGAGAAGGAGGAGGCAAAGCAGGAGAAGCAGAAGGAGATGAGGGGAAGAAGAAGAGAACAAGGAGGAAGAGGAGAAGGAGGAGGCAAAGCAGGGGAAGAAGGAGATGAGGAGTAGGAGGGGAAGAAGAAGGAGGAAGAGGGGATGAGAGGAGGGAAAGGAGGAGGTCCATTTGGGAAAGATCCCACTTTTCAGTAACCATGCCAGGTCTGGGCATTGACAAGGCCTCAATGGCCAACCCTCTTCTCAAGGTCCCAGAAAACTGAGGGTAGACCTGGGCTCCTGATCTGGGCCCTTTCCTCTCTGTCCACTAGAAAACTCCACCCTCTAAGCTCGGTTCTAGGTGGTAGAAACAGTCCCAGCACTGGCTGTGACTTGAAGGAGCCAGTCTTTCTGCCTGAGAATTTTGCTGAGCAGTCCTCCACTTCCTCCCAGGCTGCCCAGTTTACCTTCCTCCAGACACCTGAACTCAGTCACAATTCCCGCTCTTGTCTGTTCCTCCTGAATCCTCCAGGTCCTTTCTATCCCCACTACCAAGCCGTAGCCCAGCCACCATCCTCTCTCCTGAACCCTGCACCAGCCTCCTCACTGGTCTCCAGCCTCCTCTCACCCAGAACCATACAGCAGGCGGAATGACCTATCTAAAATGACCTTGCCACATGTCCTCTTGAGAATGGTCCCTCTTCTGTATCCACCTGTCCTGCCAAGATTCTCCCTAGTCTTTAATGCCCCGGATCAAAGGCCACTTCCTCTATGAAGTCTTCACATTCACTCAGCAAATATTTACTAGGCACCTAAAATGTGCCTAGCCAGGCACTGTGCTAGGCGTGGAGGTTAGGGAAGAAAATGAGACAGGTGCCACCTGCAGCAGTTGGGACAGACAAGAAAGCAATGCTGGGGCCAGCAGGTGGCATAGTGGTTGAGGTGTTGGACTCCCATATGGCTGACCGCAGTTCGAGTCCTGGAACTGGCAGCTTGAAACTCAGTTCAAGTCTTGGACCTGCAACTTGAAACTCAAGCTGGGTGTATGTACGTTCACGCTCAAAATCTCAAGAAGAGAATGGGGGAGAAGGGATTGTGGCGTGGCCATCCCTCCTGGGGGTGTTATCTCACTTTCAATGTCTTTCACTGTCTCTCTGGTGAACATACGTGTTTTATAACAAAAATCTCTCTTTAAAGAAAGAGACGGTAATAGCAGTCCACATGCACTTCCTATAGGCAGGAACCTCTACTAGACTGTGACCTCTTTGAGGGCAGGGCTCAGTTTGGAGTCGGGCAAGGAAGGAGGCAGTAATACTGAATGCATGGATAATGAAGAAGTGAATGAACACTCTTCTCTTGAGGTGTTGGACTCCCATATGGCTGACCGCAGTTCGAGTCCTGGAACTGGCAGCTTGAAACTCAGTTCAAGTCTTGGACCTGCAACTTGAAACTCAAGCTGGGTGTATGTACGTTCACGCTCAAAATCTCAAGAAGAGAATGGGGGAGAAGGGATTGTGGCGTGGCCATCCCTCCTGGGGGTGTTATCTCACTTTCAATGTCTTTCACTGTCTCTCTGGTGAACATACGTGTTTTATAACAAAAATCTCTCTTTAAAGAAAGAGACGGTAATAGCAGTCCACATGCACTTCCTATAGGCAGGAACCTCTACTAGACTGTGACCTCTTTGAGGGCAGGGCTCAGTTTGGAGTCGGGCAAGGAAGGAGGCAGTAATACTGAATGCATGGATAATGAAG